ATTAAAAAAGCCATAAAGGAATGTTAAGGGTCTACTATAAGGCCAAAGAGCAAGAGATACAAGAATGTGAAGTGAAGTAACAACGTCGGAACTTAAATTATGCATAACGGATGCAATGTCAGGTGGCCGAAACAAGAAAACAAAAAAATGGGTTTTATTTCCTTGGATGCCTTTCTCTGGTTTAATACTTGAATATGTTCCCCCCCTGAGTCAGCCAAAATATATATACAAATATTTTCCAGGAGAGACTATGCAATGCTATTCTAACCAGAAATCCAGCCAACTCTTTCCATGGCTTCTCCATTAAGACATAAGCGCGCATCTGTTCAGTCCCCGTGGACTCATTTCCGAGTCTCAGAGAAGGGGCTACAGCAATCTTCCTCCAGGCAAGGTGGAAATATGTTAACCAAGCAGGAAAACACACAGCTATGACAACTAGGCGGGCCACATTTTCAAAAGTGGTTTCTCAGCTCCGGCTATAGGTGAGAATTACCTAGCTCAAGAGAGCTTTTAAAAACTCCCGATGTCCAAGCCTCGGCCACCAATCAAATCAGTCACAGGGGTAGAGCCCAGGCTAAAGGTTTAAAAATTCTCTGGGTGATTTCCATCTTCAGCCTGATTGAAAGTCACTCTTTTAAGAGACTCAGTGGGCAGCTATGGGGACAGAAAAAAAAAATTACTTTCTTAACTAAGCTATAGGCACTAATAACCAAAACACCCTGCTAGCTAATGATGGATGCAAAGCTAACTTAAGACCTTTCCTACGGGTGGGGACAGGGGCGGGGGGTTGGTTAGGTCAGAGTAATTCTGAGTGTATCTTCCAGTTACATGTACTAAAATAATTGTTTTAGTTACAAAAGTAATACAGGCTCATGTTAGAAAACGGGGGAAAAAAAATAACATCCATCTTTCTATCATGGAAAGACAGTTAACTTTTTTGGAGTAAAAAAATAAGATTGGGATCATACTGAGCATTTAGTTTTGTAACACGATCACGTGAAAACCCTTCCTTGTCATTACGGAATGGCTTACGACACTGTTGCGAATGGCTGTGAAGCAACCCAGGGTTTGACAGGACCGTTATTTACTAATTGGTGTTTGACTGTTGCTTTAGGTTTATTCACAGACACAGTTAGGACCATGATCCCTTGAACTGCACATTAAGATTAATCTAAGAGGTCTTAAAAGGATACAAGAGCGGTATAATGGTAAGGTGGGGAGAGGAGAAGTCCCGACAGGCAGCAGCACTGACCAGTTCCGCTGGTGTAAACACTCCCACCGTGGCCGATTTCAAGATGATCCCTTTTGGAGTTGTCTAGTTAACTGGGGCAGCTGAATGGCTAAAGGTCTGATAGTTTTAAAAAATGTAGCAATGTGGAGAGAAAGTATGAATACCCTGGAAAGACCACCTTTTATTGAACAGATAAACGTGAAGCTTTGTGCAAGCTAATCTTATCAAGCCTCTATTTCTTTAATCTGTATATGGGAATAATAGCATTGTCTTCAGTGGGGCTGGTGTTAGGATTAAAAACATCACATATAAAGTATATGGTAAGCACAGATAATAAACACTCTACAGATGTCAGCTGCCTTTCTTAGTAATTACACTGTAGATATTATTACTTCTAAAGGAGAAGGGTATGAATTGTTTTAACTTTATTTTCAGGGAATTTAATGATGTTTATCTCTAAATTCCATGTCTTTATGATTTAAACCATGGGTAGCAAACCATGGCCTGCGACCCCAATCTGGCCTGGTTTTGTAAGTCAAGTTTTACAAAAACTCTGAGTTTTAATGGAACCTCCCCCCGTCCCCTATTTGTTTATGCAGGTCTATAGCTGCTTCCACAGTGCAAGGTCAGAGAAGTGTTTACTATCTGGTCCTGGACAGAAAGTTTGCTGATCCATGATTTAAACCATTCTAAACTTTCCTTAAGTGAATACTTTCTTTTTCTACATATTAAAAGCAAGCTGAGCAAATAAGGAGAGGAAATGAAAAAGATGAGATGAGAAGATTCTCCTACGAGTTCGAAAACTGCAAAATAAATCTTGGTTCCAAGAATACTTAAGAAATACTTGAAACTCTAGGATAATGCTGAGCTCGAATTCAGCAGATTTTAAAGAATATTTTGCAAATGAAATTTTCTAGACGATGACTATTACTTCTGGACCAGGAATGTACCTTGAATATGGAACTTGGAAGAGTAAATTTAAGGGGTAGAAACATGGGATATTATTTATAACCTGGCAATGAAAGTGACTGAAACCACATTAGTCAGGCAAAATAAGCTGATCTCTCTAACTACAGGTAAAATAACATTTCCAACATTGAAAAATGTACACAATCAAAACTGTACAGGGTAGGGGTTTAAGAAACCATTTCCCCTGCTAATTTTTGATGTTTATATGGAATGTTCTTCAAGCAGCAAATAACTTACCAATGATCTTAACAGACTGAAAATGATACATCTTTACCACAACATAAATTAATTCTCTCAGTGGGAAATTGCTAGAATAGGCAAGGTGTCAGAAAGATTTCTTTATGTCTGAAAGAAAGGAAATGATTCCATTTCTTCCAAACATTCTTACGTGAAAAATAATAAACTCTCACTTTTAAACTGTTTTGATTTTCGTGGGGTTCTAAGGCACCCTTACTGACTGGGGCGCTCACGGTTATCTGGCGTTGGCCATGAGTCAGTCACTATTAAGTCGGGTATAAAACACACACAGGTGTCAAACTGCCCCCATAATTCATATTATACGTGAATAAATATTCACAGAAATACTCAGAAAAGAGGATCACGAAATTATATTCACATAGCATTCCTTAGATTCACACAGCAAATGTCACACAAAGATCTTGGAAAGTAAATCTTCAGAGTAAAATGTAAGGGAAATGATAGTGGCCTATCTAAAGGAACTGGACAAATGCCTAACACAAATGAACCTCATCCTCTATAGAAGAATGACCCTGATTTTGTTCCTGAAGCAACTAGTCGAAAACTCCAGATGACAGAGACGAACATTTATTGAATGCTGGGTACGTACATAGGCTATCACATTTAACTCACACAAAAACCTGTAAAATGGGGATGGTACTATTAGAAAATTTTAAAGGGAGTTCAGGTAGGAACTCTGATCCGTCTGCCTCCCATGCCTATCCTGTTTTCGAAACACCCAATCCTGTCAGAACACAGGTTGTCTGTCAACCATGAGTCCCCTGAGATGCCCCCAGAAAAAGAGGTCCCATAATCAAGGTTAGTTCAACTAAGTTTGGGAAATTTACTAAATCCTCCCCTTGGAGAATAACAACATATATTAAAGCCTGGCGTGAAAGAAACCAGTTTACCTTTCTTCAATCCATCATTTCCCCAAACTTATTAGGGAATCCCTTTTCCCCACCTACTAAGTAATAGGGTCAGCCCACTGTGTCTGTGGGTTCCACATCCACGGATTCAACCAACTGTGGTTCAAAAAACTATTAGGAAAGGAACCCTACGTTGTTGCTGACATGTACCACGTAGTTAGGTCTACAGTGGTTGCATCTATAGTGAACAATTAGACTTTTTTTCTGGTTATTCCCCGAACAATACGGTATAACAACTATCTATGTACATAGCACTCACATTGCATTAGGTGTAATAAGTAATCGAGAGGTGATTTAAAGTATATGGAGGATGTGTTTATGGTATACGAAAATACTACACCCTTTTATATAAGCAACTTGAGCATCTGTAGGGGGTTCTGAAACCAACCCCCCGAGGATACTGAAGGATGACTGCATTCTGAAACACATTTCACGAAATACTACTGTAGTCGCCTTTGCACAATGTTGTCCCCCTGGCTGGATGCGCCTCCTTTCCCGCTTTATCTGTTTGACTCCTACTGAATCTTTCACGGAAGCCTTTCCTGACTGGGCGGAGCTTCTGTCTAGATGCTCTCAAACCACCAAGTTCTTCTATGTGTCACTTGTCGTGGTTACAATGCCATATTTATTGGTGTATTTATTTGATTAATGCCTGTCTATACTCCTACTGAGGGGAAGGGAGAAATAGTTCATGCTTCTCAGATGGGAAAACGAAGAAGGACGTTTCCAGCCGCTCTCTACCATCTTTACTCGTTCCTGCTCACCGACGAGCAATGACTTAATGGCCCTCTGAACTGGGAAGAAAGGACTGCACCCGGTTCAGCTGAGGGCTCAGGGTGCGCTCTGCTCCGCTCGTACTCCAGGGTGAGCTTAGAAGGGCCATTTGGGAAATAAACTAAATCCAGGGAAGACATACTAACGAGCCCAATGGTTACAGATCCAAGACCCATTCCGCAGTTCAGCTCTATCCACTAATAAAGTTGACTTTGATCTTCACCTCTGACTCGGACTTTTCAGCTGCTTTTACATTTGGGAAAGGAAGACACAAATGTGCTTGTGGTCCCCAGAATGCCAGCATCATTCACTCAGGACGAGGACGGGGTCTCCCCTGGCTCACTACTGTAGCTCAGTGCCTGGCACATAGGAGGCGCTCTAAATGTGTGTGTGTGTGTGTGTGTGTGTGTGTGTGTGTGTGTGTGTAATTGTTTTATAATGGAAAAATTTCAAATTAGCAAAAATTGGGAGATTGGTATAATGAACTTTTCTATACTCATCACCCAGCTTCATCAATAATCAATACACGGCTGTCTTGTTTCATCTACTCCGCCTGACTAAAGCAAGTCCAAGACATCGTCACATCGCTTCATACAGAATAAATGGTAAAAGTCTGAAAAAGTATCTATAAAACCATTATCACATACATATTATAAACAATGATTTCAGAATACTTCTTCAATCATAAACAGATGAATGAATCGACAAACTCTACAAAGACCAGTAAAGGATCACAGAAGAGGTGGATCTGAATCATCATCTGCCCGTGGTCCCCAGCCCATGTCTGTCTGTCTGTCACACACACACACACTCACTCACTCTCTCTCTCCCGCTCTCGAGGTGGCAGCCAAGCCGCTCACCTGTTGGCGTGCTGCTGCGGAACGAGGAGGAGGGGGTGATGGGCGGGGTCACGGGCGGAGTGAGGCTTCCGCTGCTGTGACGTGGTGGAGTGGACACATTCCCGCGCGACACGGAGCTGGACAGGGTCAGCGAGAGCTTCGGCTGGATCTTCTTCTTCAGGGACTCCTGCTCTCGGCGGGCAGCATCTGTCATGAATCTGAGAAGACAAGTGCAGGTAAGTAACCGGGGCCATCTACAGAGCAGGAGGACTTACGACAGTCACCTGAGTTTGACGGATGCTGCCTTCGGAGAAAGGGGCTGCTCACAGGTCTGTCCTGTCTCAAGGCTCACCACAGATTCCCTTCCCTGCGTGATGAGATCCTCTCGCTTGCTGCTTTCCGGCTGCCCAGAGCCAGGCCGATGTCTTCCCTCAGCAAATGCTCCCTGCGGGGACTCAGGCCCAGACACCCTCTGCGCTCGCTGCAGTGCAGGCAGCTACAAGGCTTTCCCGCTCTTTCAACCCAGAGAAAGCCCACCCATTCTCCAAGCGCCCCGACCACCCCCGGGCACAGACATCTCCTTCGTTTGCGGGCTGGCAGTATTTCCCGGACGTGCCACTCCACTGCCAGTTGACATTAGGGCCTCAAGAAAGCTCTGATTCTTAATATTACTCTAGATTCTCATATTGGGTTTTTAAATGTTTCTTGGCTGACTGAAGGTCTTGTCCCCATCACCATTAGCTGAAAGGAAAGGACTGGAGTCCCTGTAATTGTTGCCTGCTCACTGCCCAGCCCACTTGAGCAAACATTTACAGAGCGGCTGCGAATGCAGGTCTGCCCAGGCCGATGCAAGAAGGGAAGAGAGCCACACCCGGAGGAAGGTCGCCAGCAAAGATCTGCTTGTGTTGTGATGTTATCCCTCAGAAAGGCAAAGGTGACTTTTCCTGAAGGTTTCACCACGGAAACTTCAAAGTTATTCTTTCAACACTTCTCTCAGGTTAATAATATTCAAGTTTTCTTCGTTTCTCACTGTACAAGCTAACATTTCACAAATTCATGTAATATGAGATTCAAAACGATCTACGAAATGGTATCTTTTACCTGAAGAGCAAATGTCTTTTTGTATCATTGACAGGCAGACTGTCAGCTGCATTTAAAAAAAAACTGCGATGGAAAATCTAGTGAGCGGAGTATATGAACGCATTTAGGTAATAAAGCAGGTACCAGTGCCCACCGCCGAGGCTGAAAACAGGACATAACACAGCCCTTCGAGTCCTCTCTGTACTCCACCCCTCATCAATTATGTTTTGACTATTTTAATACAATTCATTGTAACGAATTTCACTGCTCTTCGACATGGTATTTTACCCAACCCATTTCACATTCTGCCCACAAAACTCCTTAGTATTTGTCTTCAGTACACTATAAACTTTTGGAAGTCAACAGATAGTTTCAATGCCTGGTAAAAGCTTAGGGTCGATCAAACACCCAATGAAACAATATTACGATATTGTTACTGTGTCTTAAAATGTCTGCTTTTATACTTGGAACATGAATGGCACGTTTCTTGAATAGCTTCTGCAATACAACCTAGATATATAAACTGGATTTTATATGTACACAAGTGTAGTAAAAGCTACATACTTGGCCTTGAGCTCTTAGGTTTCGCACTAAAAGATGGTGATGATTTAAAAAGAAACGACAATGCAAAACAGAATTGTTTGTACTCGGTAGCCAGGTCCTCGTTTATTTTCAGATGCAAAGTTGGCGCTACTGCTCTTAAAAATGCTATTTCCCTCCCCATAAACCTCTACTCAAAATATGGGCTCTCAGAGAAAAAAGCAAGAAACGAGTGCTTTCTTTTATTATTCTAAGCAGAACTACTAAGAGGCACAGTGCTGAGCTCAAATTGGGGTAAGCAGTGTAGGCAAAACCATAGGCCAAGCACATGCTTCTTCCAGGAAGACCAACTGTTCTCAATGTAGGCAGTGTAAACTAGTGTGTCAAATAGTCAAACGCAGATATGGTATAAGGTAGAACAAAAAAAACCTACGTTTTTGCATCGTCAGGAAGAACATGGAGTAAGGCAGTCTACAGGTCAAGTCCTGGCTGTGTTAGTTGCTATGTGATTGAGGGATGTTGATAAACCAGTCTGAACCTCAGCTTTATTCTCTGTAAAATGGGACTAATAATTGTAACGAATAATTGTAATAATCGTAAAGGGTTAACATACATCTTTTCCCTTTCTGCAAGAGGTTTTGATCTTTGGATAACTTTGGTGACCTGCTAAGATGCTATGTCAACTATGCTAACAGACAAAGCCCTCTGTGGCCTCTGGTCATCTTTTGAGTCTGAATGTTCATGATCTGAGAGGATCATGATCACAGGGTGATGACGGCGCCGACTTGGGAGGGTCGTGGTAAGGATTCAATGAGGTAGCGGGGCCTGCCATAAAGGAAGTGGCTCAAAATTCAGAAGCTGTTATCATTATAATAAGCTTCACAATGTGGTTTTATCTCTATATCCCTCATTAGCCCCCAGTTTCTTGAGAGCGCACTGCATGTTCATGGCACTGAAAGCCTCACGTATAGGATGGATTGTGCAATGGCTGACCAGGAATCAGCTCAGAGTCGCATACGGTCATGTACAGAGACACTCGCGTGTGTGTGTGTGAGAGGGAGAGGGGGGGCAGGCACTTTTCTATGTCCTCGCTCACTCTGGTTAAAAAGTATTAATAGCTCAGATATAAAACAACAACTATAAACAACCACAACAACACACACACGCATCCCCTCTCTGTGTTTAGTCAGCTATGGGTGGCAATCTATTTTTGCTTTGTACCTGCTAAGTGCTTTCTCGGCATGAGAATGAAGCACCATGTTTTAAAAGCCTTAAACATAAAACTCAAAGCACTGCTGCCAGCCTTTCTCTCCCTCTCCCTTCCCTCCCTCCTCTCTTGGATTGGTGGTTTGAACTTGCAGCTACACCTATAAATCATGGCGACTTTGCCCCACCGAGATACACAGCTGCACAATTTACTGCTGGTGACAACATGCACATGCACGGGCATTCGGATGCCCCGGGAGACTGGCTGAAATTCCCTCATTTCTCGCCGGCGATGCTGCACTGGTCTTCCTCTTTCACTTGTTAACCACGACTTCACCTACTTTTTGATATTGAACCCTAAAGTTTTAAAGCAATGTTCTATCAATACAGCTTTTTGTCAAAAGGTGGGCAGATTCCCGATGGCCAAGAATCATCTGGGGAGACAAGTTTATAAAGAGCTCGATGAGGCAGAGAGTAAAGGCTGCACTGCAGCCAAGGACTGAAGATTCGAGTTACTTGGCTCTGAGCAGAAAACCAGACAAAACCATTTCCATTTTCAAAGGCGCTGCACTCCGTCTGACACGCCCTCAGAGGATCGCGGCCCAGATCTTTCCATTGTCAGGATTAGAAATGACCCCCCGTACGTCCCCCTCTGCCCCCCCAAGGCTGGGAGGGAATTCGGCCTTGGGAAGCCATGTTACTCTGTAGTCTGATGAGTTTTTCTCAATGGGTTTTGATATGATTGGTCATCTTTCTGAATGAAGCCCTTGGTAATCAGGGCCAAGAGGAGGTTTCAGAGCTGCAAGAAACCTGGATAAGACAGATCGCCTAGTCCAACCCCCTCGTTTTTCAGTGTAACTGAGAACTATGGCAGAGTGGCCTGGTCAAGGTCACTGCTGGCTGGTGGTAGAGCTGGCATCAGAGAAATTAAGCCTCGAGACTGAATCACACGCTCCTACTCCACCATGCTGCCGTGGGCACGGCAACGACCCCTGAGCGTTCTTGTTCCTGCTTCGGAGTTAGGGTTTTCAAAGTTGAAAGTGGGTAAAGGACCAGAAGGCCTCATTCTCGCCATGTCAGCCGAGTTCTGCTATGCCGGGGCCCGCGTGGCTCCCGGGGGGCCCTGGGTCTGTGGCCTCCCTGGGATGCGATGTGGGGAAGGCTGGCTGTGCCCACCTGCCTGAATTCTTTCTGCTTTACCACGGGAAGCGTTCTGATCTCACGGCGGCAGTGTGCTGGGGTGGGCTCGTCCTGGCTTGTGAGAGACGAATCTTAAATTTTCAGGGATTTTGTGAGCCAGTTGTCAAACACGCCCATCATTAAAAATTAAATCATGTCAACTTGTAATTAAAACAAGCATATTAAAAACAAAGGCAATAATATTCAAAGCTTATTGGTTTTTAATTTACTCCATTTTATTATTATCTATGTTATCGAGGTTATTTACTTTAGTATCATATCTGTCTGGTAGAATTACTAGATAACGATGAGCTAGTGACCCTCTTCCCAACTCTGTTCAGTGACGTCATGTTGGTAGCTTGAAAGTGGCCACGGCGGGAGTATTTACAACATGGAAATGGGCAAAGATTATAGATCAGGGCTTTTTTCTCCTCTGAGTCAGTTATAAAACATTTACCATAAAATACGCTTTGGAGTTATTTTTTAAATGTGGGATAAAAGCATTTGAACCAGGCTCCTTGACGACTCACTGAAGGAGCTAAATGGAGGAAGGGATAGAAAATGGATAAGAAAGGCTTCTTTTTCTTTTAAACATTATAAAAATAACACATTTCATTAAAGGACAATCATTAAAAATTTTTTTATAGATTTGCGCCTTTTGTTCAAAAACATTTTTTAAAAGCTGGAATATATGGATATGCATATATAAATGAGAATACATGATTTACACGTACAATCGAAAGGATAAAATGATACCACTCAGCTTATGGGGAAAAAAATGCTAGAGCCTGTGAAGGTTTCCAGATACAATTTCGGTGGATTTTTCAGGGTATTTTCCTTCTACTATTGCTTTTCTATAGAGAAAAATGAATATTTCTTAAGGAAAAAAAACCCAGTCACCTGAGGGTTCATTCACTGTTGACTAACAGCTAGGAAATCTGCGGTCAGGCAAAGCCATGTTTTCATTTTGAAACCGAAACTGCCATAAGATTAATTTTAACTTTCCTACAAATCAGAAATGCCTAAGTTACTTTAATTTAATACGGTCATTTGTAGTAATATTTGTTATTGCTTGGGGAAGTACATATTCCTTAAGTAAATTTTCAAGACTCCATTATAAATCTTTTAAATCCTTAGACCACAATGTTCATTCAGTCTGACATGTTAAACGTGGAAACATGACTATAACACCACAGGGGGAAATGTCAAACTG